ATAATCGAACGTAGACACTGCTTGTTTTTGAATTGGATCAATAGACGTTTTCCCAGCCAGCTCGCCTTCTCGTTACAATATGATGGATATATTGCACAAAGCGGGATTTGATGGGCCGATCAACTTAGGATGATATGAATCCCATTGCGAGTATGCGAGTAAACGAGAAATCATCATTCAAATGCAACACAATGGTTTTCAGTGTAAAATAATTCGCAGAATTAGGTCGAAAACTAAATTAGATAGAGGTGAAGTCCAAGGTTTGTTTATGAGTTAATTTCTGCATTGCATTGGAGAGAACACTAATAACGGACATCGGTAGGTGCTCTGATTAGCAGAAACGAAACACGTTGTCCCCTGCTCGAAAAACTGAACCAATGAAATCTACCGAACTGACATAAATTGGCAAGTGCAGCACAGCACAACTGAATTCCATCAATCATCACGAACATGAAGGTAAGAACACAGATTTGGATAGCACACGATTACTGGTGCATACTTTCAGATTTCTGTCTTTCTGGTCGCCAATGCATATGTTGCTGAACGTGAGCAGACGCACAGGGATGCACAACGTGCATACACGAATGAGTTACTCTAGAACTTTAACAATAATGTAACTATCATGTGATGGATGTGAAAGTCCCGGAATAAAATTACCCTTGCAGGACAAAATCGACAGACGAGAGAAATATCCGGTCGACCTGGCCGAGAGGATTCCGAAGATGAAGCGCAAGATCCGGCCAATAATGAAGCTGTTGATAAAGGAGAACAAAATAGTATGTCATTCCCGACCTATTCACCAGACATTGGTCCCTCGATTGCTAACTAACGCTATACATCACTTCCTTCATCTGTAGCTGCACGGGATCGAGTGACCATCAAACTCGTTGTACATCGTGTTGCGGGACCGGATGCGGAGGATGAAGCAGAGACCGCGAGTGCACGATCGAACAGTCAGCTTGCTCAACGTGGAGCAAGAAGTGAGTGCGATCGACGCTGTGGTGGAGCTAGTTTCTGTATAAGTTTGATGCTTTCGGATAATCAACAGTCTGTCCTCTTTGTTTACTTTTGTTGTCGTTCCAAGACAACGTCATCCAGAGGAAGCGGAAGAAGATGAGGATCGTGAAGCACGGGCAAATCGAAACGAGCCAGACAGAGATGCACGCAGAGAAACAAGAAGGCAGCAACGGGCCCGATTAGATCGGAATCGAGATGACGTCCGAAGGCGCCCGCGTTATGGTCAGTGTATTATATGGAGAATTCAATTGGCAAATAAATAAAATAATTCCAGTTGCATTCAAATCCGCCTTCTCACGTAATTGTGTCAATGGTCGAAGTTTCCTCATTAGAGTAGCTGAAGGAATTTGAATGTTGGTAAGTGTCATTCACCTTGAATCAAAAGCCTGCGATGTATTGATGAAGACGAGTGATCCGCAATTCAATGGTGAATTTCGTTGTAGTTGTCGCCTGAATTTTGTCTTCACAGGACCTCCTGTGGATTCCCATACCACGATGATATTCGAAACATGCTGACAGACAAGGTGAGGCATTTGGTTTTCATTTTATACAAAATGTTGTTCAGTGATAAATTTTTCCCTATTAAACGAATACATAGCTCGATTACCCTATGTTCACAATAATGATATTTGTTTTGCAACCTCGTTTGATTTTGAATTTGGTGTATTTCTATCACATCGCACAATAGGTTTGCTCTTCGTTGATGATTGCTCAAGTCATTGGAATCATTTTAGAATCAGATTCTTTTGACAAATATGTTATAATCTGTGGGATGTTTGACCTTCCGTTGACAAATGAGGCAACCCTGTGGACAATGATATTGACAAATTGTAATCCATTTGCATGGAGCTAACGACAGAAGCTCCGCTGTACTGTGATGATTCATCTCAACTGATGTGAATGAATTTGATTTAATAAAATTAATAATAACAACTGTTTCTTCGTGATTTGTATTGCCTATAAAAAAATTACTTGATCATGAATTCGACATTCAGTGGCAACTAAAGCAAGGTCATTGAAATTCATTGATCAATTCGTTTTCTGTTAAATCCAAATGACTATCCAGGCTAACGTTGAGTGACGCGCAACCTCAGAAGCCAAGTCCAAGTTTTCTAGAGGTTTATTCGACTCCAACAATAGCGAATAAGTATGCGGTACTGTAAATATTAAGCGTCACAATTACATAAACAACACACCTCAA